AACCCCAGAGCGCAATTATACGAGTTACCACTATAGGACTTCTTACTGAATGGTTCCCATTCTCTTCAACCCAAGTGATAGACCCAACGTTTCTACTCTGATTCTCGTCACCTATATACCGAATTGTCAAAGTATAACTTTGCTTCTCATTTTTCTTCTTGAACACCAGAGTTTTTGGAGAAACTGAAACTGTGGAATTCTTTGGAGTTTCTATCTTTACTTTATAAGTTGCTCCACCTTTTCCAACATTTGTAAGGGTCCTCCTGAATTTCTGCTCCAACCAGGTGAAGTTGCCCTCGAGGCTGAACGGGTACAAGGCAATGAATGATGGGTAATTGAGATCAGCAGATGGATTTGAGCAGTTGTGGTAATTGGCTGACGATCTTGCAAATGTTTTAAATTGCTCTTCTGTGAAATTCATTGAGCATATAAGATTTATGTAATCTTGTGGAGTAGCATCATATACTAGGCCGGGATCAAGAGCTTTGTTTGGATCAACGTGCCCTCCTCCCATGTCTAGGGGCGTGGCTACCATGCCATCGTCCTCTCTAATAGGTTTTTGACTATTATCCAAATGGTTTGCTGTGGTCATCATGGCGGAGCGAATAGCTGAAGGACTCCATTCAGGATGTGCGCCTTTTAGCATTGCTGCAATTCCAGCAGCATGTGGTGCAGCCATGGATGTGCCTGATTTAAGCTCGTAATCAGCAGATAATCCTATATTTGTCCCAATGCTTTCTGAAAAGAGATTAGGTGGGACAGCTGCAAGAATCAGTACCCCTGGTGCCATAATGTCTGGCTTTGCGATTCCCAAGTAGCTTCTGGAGGGCCCTCGAGCTGAGCTTCCAGCAAGAACTGGGGCTGGTCTTTCTCCATCCACATACGTTTCTTGGAACGTGATGGTGGCCGTGGGAGAAACACTGGTTTTAACGTAATTGATGACTTGTTTCCCTTCCTTTTTGTCAATCACAACTCCCGGGTAGGAAAAAGAAGCAGACCTGAATACTCCTGGATCCTGAGAGATAAAGATGCCTGCCCGAAGTCTTGCTCGAGTGACGTAAAAAAATTGACTGGACAAATCCCAATTATTACCATTACTATCATCGCAGATGATGATGGTACGTTCGGGATCAGGTACTTGTGATAACAACTCGTCTGAATTGCAAGCGGCTAGAGTCTTGTTGTAAATCACCAGTGAATCCCTGACAAAGGCTCTTGCAGGAAACAAGCTCCACCCCCTAATTTGTAAGCCATTGCCCAAAGTCAAAGTTCCTGCAAATGTTCGGTCGGTGTATCCTGATGCCACACACAAGATCCATGGAGATCCGTTGCCTAAACTTCCCATGCTTGGACCTCGATTTCCAGCTGAAGCAGAAACTAGCACTCCCTTCATCATAGCTCCAAAAGAAGCAATAGATATAGCATCTTCATACAAGGGAATGAAACGGTACCCAAAAGAAATGGATATCATGTCAACACCGTCTGCAACAGCTTGGTCCATAGCAGCAATTAAATCTGAAGTAAAGGTTCCTTCGTTAAAGCTAAACTTGTATACAGCTAGCCTAGCTCGTGGCGCAACTCCTTTTGCTGTTCCTGCTGCATATCCAAAATGAGAAACACCTTCAGCAAAGTTCCCAGCAGCAATGGAGGCGCAATGTGTGCCGTGACCATAATCATCCCTGGCAGAATTCATGGAAATGTTTACAGTGGGATCATTAGCCAAAATCCCCTTATTGAAGTAATTAGCCCCAATAAGTTTTCTGTTGCACAATGAAGTGTTAAACTGAGTGCCGGGCTTGCAAATTCCTTTCCATCTTTTGGGGACTTGTGGCATACCATCATCTCGAAAACTCGCAGATTCAGGCCAGATGCCAGTGTCAAGAACACCAATGATCACATCTTGGCCTAAACCAGAAGCAGGCCATAGCCCAGATGAAGGATTGAGCTTGAGGAAATCAGATGTATAGGTAGTGTGAGGTTCCACAGTTGTATCTTTGTAAGCTGAAACGAAACCTGGTAACTTCTTCAAAGCTTCAAGTTCATCTTTGGACAAAACAGCACTGAAGCCATGAAATACATTGTCATAAGAGTAAACAAGTTTTGGAGCTGAGTGGAATCTGTCCACTGATGAAGGAACAGCAGCTTTAATGGAATCAATGGTGGAAGAATGCCAATGATGGTGATCAGCAAAGATACTAGGCATTAAGGATTTGTCCAAGTGGACAATGTAAGTGGATCTTTGCGCTACAGCTAAGAAACAGAACACATGAGCAGACAGAAACCATGAAAGGAAGAGAAGATGAAGACAATAAGGTAAACCCATTCTAGATCCCATGTTCACTCACTACAAACTGTACTTAAGCTACCAAACATTCAATTGACTTTATAGGATTGAGCATATGAGGTCCCTTTAGCAATCAATGTAGTAAACATAGGCGGCTATTATAAAAGTTAACTGTACCATTAATATAGTAATCAGTTTGTATGGATGTCTATTTCTCACAGCTGCTTGAAAAGATCCTTTATGTCAATCTGTCAATTATGGCCCCACTTATCCATTTAATAATTTAATTCAGTGTTTACTTTTTTATTTCTTAATTGTTTGTTCTTTAATCTTAACTTTTATAGTCTGATGAGACAATGTGATTTTAAGAGTAACCGTCCAACCCACTAGTGATATTGTCCGCTTTGAGTCGTAGGCCTTCACGAGTTTAAAACGCGTCACTAGGGTTTAACGCTTGTTAACTTATATATCCAGCACCTCTTTTGTGTTTTGCAGATGCGAGATTCTGAAAGTATGAGGTGTTACTTAAGTCAATAATTTTCCAAAGAAAAGCAAAAGTCAGTAGATAATCAAGGATGCTGCTTTCAAGGTTTCCTCCATCATCATATACCTTAGTATATTATACGTTTATATAATTCTGTCAGCATGTGCTCCTTTTGCTTCTGGATGATATAATCTGACGTTGATTTTAGTAAGCGTTGTTGATTTGGAGTCTCAATCAAATGAGAATTGAAAGATTGGAAAAGAAATGACAGAACTCAATTACAATTCCTAGGTAAAGAATAATAAAATCTATGAGCTACATGGATTTTTTTTTCTTTCTCTTATTTCATTATTAACTGAAGGGATTTAAAAATTAAATGAGAAAATTTTAGAATTCATAGCAGCTAAATAAACTGAGGTGTTTTTTTTGTTACCCCTTCTTATGCCTTCAGTTTCTGTGAATATTTCTCTTTCCAAATATTCCTTTTGGAATTTCCAAAAATCAAAATGTGGCTTAACGATCAACAAAGTTGAAATGAAAAACATAAGAGATCAAGATTTTGGGTTGTGTTGGAAGTAAAAGAAACAATTAGATAATTTCTTTACTGATGTTTAAGTTTCGGTAGAGTTACTTGGTACGCATTTGTTAGAAATACTAGTTGGTAAAAGTAATTGAAGTGCATAAGTTAATCCAGATACTATATATATATATATATATATATTTCCTCACTCTCCTGGGACATTAATAAGAGAGGCTAGGGCCATTTATCAATTTTATGGTCCCCAGTATGATAAATGACTCAAAATCAATCATGGAATGATAGGAAGTCTATTGTTCTAAGAACATAAAGCAATGGGTTAGAGAGAAAGGCTCCACCTTCTCTCTAAAAGCTTCCTTCTTTAATATTCCCCAACTCCCCCCTTCCTCACTTTCTTTCCTCATCTTTCACTAGATGAATATTAACGAACACAAGACCTTGAACCCAAAAGACATGCCCCTCAATGACCAAATTGAAGAGATGCCCAGTCAATCTGTATTAAACGAGCAAGTAACCACTAGGGCAACGCCGGACCTTCTCATCAATACAACCCCTCCAACGGACATGGAAATATGTAAAGGAAAACACACGGATAAACCTGAAGCTAGAACAAAGGACACAACCAACCCTACAAAGAGGATGACCTTCCTGGACACCTTGGTAGTGGGTAATACTGCAAATAATGAGCCAGAAGGAAGCCAAGTTACAGTCCAACAAAACATGATCTCCTATGAACAAGAAAATGAAACTAATAACTACCCTAACCCGGAGTTTTTCATCCTCATTACCTCATCGGATAAGGAACGTATATACAAGAACTGGACCAACGCTCTTATTATCAAAATGCTCGGCAAGAGAGTTGGTTACCAATTTCTCCAAAAAAAGCTTCGCGCAATATGGAAACCAACTGAAACCCTATCCCTAGTGGACCTAGGACGTGACTACTACTTAATAAAATTTGCTAAAGAGGAAAATTATAACAAGACACTTCATGAAGGACCATGGTTCATAGGGAACCAATCTCTCACAGTAAGAAAATGGGAGCCTAGATTCGTAGCTTCCAAAGCTGCATTAACTTACTCAGCCATATGGGCAAGACTCCCGGAATTATCCACTGAATTCTACGACTACGATATTCTTTAAAAAATTGGAGAGAAGCTAGGACAACTAATACGTATTGATGCATGCACCAAATCCGCTCTAAGAGGTAAGTATGCTCGACTTTGCGTAATGGTACCCATAGAAAAACCTCTAAAAACCTATATTGTGATTGGCAAACACATACAACAAATTTCATACGAGGGGTTTAATCTCCTATTCACAAATTGCGGCAGGCTTGGACATAACCTGAGTAGCTGCCCTCACCAAGCGCCCAAACCAGTAGAACTCCAGGAATCAAGCTCATCCAATACACTGCATAAGCCTCACACGGTGGAGACACTCACCCATAAGATTGACCAATGGACTATTGTCTCCCACCAAAAGAGAAATAAAAAACATCAAAACAACTTTTATAACCTAAGCCCTAGAGACGACCTAGTGCATCCTAGGGGATTGACTACCAAAAAACCTAGCCAAAGTACTCAAAGATGGCAAAGGTCTGGAAATGGAAATGACCAAAGGCTATCTCCTAACTTTGAGGGAAGCAAAAACCCACTGGACAATACTAAAACCTTAGGTGAGACCCCAGCCATCCCACACCGTTACACTATAGTCCAAAGCCAACAATTGGATAATATTGTACCTAAAAACTCAAGACATCAACATCACAATGACAACCCCTTCTCTTGCCTTTACCCTAAGGACCTTGCCATAACCAACCTAGAAACCATTAACTCCCCCCATAACTCATATACACCCTTGGGCAATAACTCTCACAAAATAAAAGCTTATGATGATAGCCCCTTAGCATCAGCAATAGTACCATCGAAGGACAACAACAAGGAGCAATCTATGGACATAGACTCTATAATACCTACAAAAAGCCAATCACCCTCATTAATGCAAAACTTTAGTAGCCCACAAATCATCCCCTCCAATCTGCCTATACGTGCTTCAAGACCCATACAACAAATACTAAGTACAAATCAACCTCATTCCTTGTCAAACTCAAGTCATAACACCATTAATGAACAAGACATTTTGACTCCTAGGATGGACAAAATTTTTGCAGCACATATTGGCCCCTCTACATTAGCAACGGATACAAATAACTACTTACCCACTAGTAGAGATTCCAACACTCCAAAAGACTCAACCCTAAGTAAAAACAAAACACAAGATGCCAAGGCTACCATACAACCACAACAGGAGGTACCCAAGGCCAAGAAGGAACGTTTGGACGAGGCCACAACTCCCAAACCAATCCCAAATACCTATGATCTTCACTACAAGACCCATACAACCGGACCATGCCCCCCAATCTTGGTTGGAATGGGGTCTCATGGGACATGCTCTGAACATAAGCCTTCAACTAGAAGGGAGGGATCTAATAGTCCAAATAGGGGATCTATCATACCTAGCTCAGATTGTGACGGAAGTGACACAACTAGGCTTGAACAACGCTATGATCCGCCCATGTATGAGTCCCCAACAGCCCCACCCCATGCAAATGAACCTAGGTCCTCATCCCTCTCCATGGAGCTCCCATGCATGGCTCCAACAGCCTACGTTCAACATGCCTAGCCCCAACCTACCCATGTGCCCATCCCATGCAAACCCCCAAACCCTAGCTCCTACCATCCAAACTGTCCAAGCCCAACCAAACTCCCAACCCAGCAGCAACACTCCTCTAACACCACTGCCCAGAATAATACCACCCTCAACCCTTCAAGTTTCGAGCCAAGCACAGATGACAACTCCAACTCCACAAAACCCGAGCCAAACTGTGATGGAAGAGGAGGAAGAAGAGGAAGAAATCCCAACAAAAAGAATAGTGGAGCACGGAGTGTTAAGATACCCAAAAACAATGGCCTTCCAAGCAAGAAGAGAAAAAAGGTTCATCTTAAGTTGCCCAGTGGATTTGAGGAAATGCCCCATCTCCATCAGGAAAGTGAACCCCCCAAGCCTTTATCAACATGCAGTGGTGTTAGTACCAACAATGCTTACTCATTATTGGACGCAACGGGAGGGCATGAGGAGCAGCCACAGCCCCACCAGTAGCCATGATAGGGGAGTATCAAGCAGAAACATCAGTATGAATATGATCATTTGAAACTGTCGAGGCGCAAATAGCGCAGAATTTAGACGAGCTTTTAGAGCTATGCTAGATTATCATCGTCCTAGTATAGTGGCACTGTTGGAAACAAAAATGGAGGATCACCATGTCTTGGTCCAAGATTTCGGGTACTCTAGTCTCATCCAAATGCCTGCTAATGGAAACTAGGGGGGGCATTGTGCTCATGTGGAACAATGGAGATACAATGGTAGACCAAATTGGAGGAACGGATCAAGAGATACACGCCATGGTAAAGGTACGAAATCCAACAAAAAATTGGTTATGTTCTATTATATATGCTAGTAATCTCTTGGAAGAAAGATCAATTCTTTGGCATAACTTAAAAATAGTAGCTAATAATTATAAAGGTCCATGGCTAGTCGCGGGAGACTTTAATGAAGTCACTTGTGCATCAGAAAAACTTGGAGGCTTACCTATTAATTATAATAGAGTATCCAAGTTCTTAGATTGTATGAACCGATGTGGCCTTGTAGATTTAGGGTTCAAAGGGTCGAGGTTTACTTGGACTAACAAGAGTAAAAATTGTAAAAACATAATTATGGAACGGCTTGATAGATGCATTGCGAACACAGAATGGTTAGAACTATTCCAAGATGCTAATGTCAAGCATATAACTAGAAGCCATTCGGACCACTGCCCAATCAAACTAGAATTTTTTAAAAGTTTCTCTACTAACAATTGTCACACCTCCTTTTTACGTACCCGAAAGGGTACAAGGGAGTTTTTTTAAATTAAAGGACAATCGAAACGGGTTTTATTTATTAATTTCAGAGTCGCCACTTGGAAGATTTAGGGTGTCCCAAGTCACCAATTTTAATCCCGAATCGAGGAAAAGAATGACTCCATATTACAGTCTGCGTACCAGAAATCCGGATAAGGAATTCTGTTAACCCGGGAGAAGGTGTTAGGCATTCCCGAGTTCCGTGGTTCTAGCACGGTCGCTCAACTGTTATATT